GTTTTACAACGTCGTTGCCAAGCGACGAAAACCCAACCCCGATGGCAAACACCGAGGGGGACGAGGGGGGGGGACATAGGCAGGGGGGAGGGGGTGGGTAAGCGCCCTGCTACGCCGAAGAGGTGAGAGAGGGTCCCTGGCACCCTGTGCCGCAAGGGCAAAGAGGAGCAAGAGATTGGGGTGCGGGGGTGGGGACAGGGCGGAGTACTCGATCGTTGGTGGCGTGTCTTCTAATGGTAGTTGTCATGCTCGCTAGAAGAAACCCTGTAACGCGCTTGCTAATCCCGATGGGTCAAGTCACTTTATTCGTTCATCGCTGCTTCGTTACCGCCGCCGCTGTTGGCCGTGACCCCAGATCCACATGACTGACAACTGGTACTGCGACTTCTGCAGCTACGTGGTCTCTAAGGTGAGGAAGAGAGTGTGACGGTAAATCGAAACACAGGGACGATGTGTTGTTTTGTCTGCTGCTCTGGCGCGATGGATGGATATACCTGCCGTTTCCTATCTTGCCGGTATCAACGTGCGTGACAAAGCCATAGGGACAACTAGATCGAGTTGATGGGGGTGATTTTGTTTTTCGGGAAGAGGAGAGCGCCCTCCCTCGTAGCGCCCTGGCCTGGGAAGACGTCGCGCTTTCTTCCCGATCGACGAGCGATGTTGTCTCCCGTTGTCGTTCGACGCACTCCTCACTAAAGCAACGGTCTCGCCCCTACCGAAGGCTTGTGCCCCCCGCCCGCACATATATGAACTCACGGTGCCCCCTCTCTTCTGTGTCAAACCTCTCCGATCGCACGACGACCAGGCGCAGAGGCATTTGGAGGCCGTCATCGCGGCTGCGGAATCGGCTTCGTCCGTGATGCCGGCGAGAGGGGGGCCTGGCGAGATGACAACGCCGCCGCCGCCGCTCGCGGGGGCCGCTTCTCCGCATCCACCCGCAGATGGCAGGAGGACCGGAGGAGGCAAGAAGCAACCATCCGCGAAGAAGCAAAAGAAGTCCTCGAAACATCTGCTCCCGGCGCCGCCGCCGGCGGTTGGCCCGCACGGAGATACGGGAGCGAGGCGAGACGGCGCGGCGGGCGCGGTGGTGGTGGGGCAGTCGACGCCATCGGGGCTACCGCCGCCCAGCAAGGGCGAACACCGTGTGGGTGATGGGGCAGAGAGAGACGAAGATACGGCGAGCGGAGGAGAGAACAGACCAACAGTGGCAGCGGCGGCGGGGGCGGGGGCGTGGAAAGGGTCCCCCGGGGTGGACGCGGTGGCGAGAAAGGAGATATGGGCATCACCGGGGGCGGTGGCCGGGTGGCAGGCGGCGTCAGCACAGGCGGGGGCGGAGGCGACTGGAACGCCGCCTGCGGCGTCGGTGGTGGGAGCGGGGGCGTCACGCGCGCCGGAAGAAATCGTGGCCGCTGCGGAGGCGTGGTGCGGCGTCGAGGCCTCGAGGCTGAAGCGCGACGCGCAGCAGGCGAAGAAGCGGAGCTGGGACGACTTCGAGAACGGGGGCAACGGCAGCATCGGGGCTGCGGAAGCGGTGGCGGCGGCGGCGGCGGCGGCGGCGGCGGCGGCTGTTGACAGAGGGGCGGCGGAAGGGGGGCGAAGCTCGACAGCACAGGGCAGTGGCGGCGAAACATGCAGTAGCAACGGCAACCTCGGTAGTCGCTTCAAGGCCCCGCCGCCGCCACCGAACGGTTGGCAACGCGCGACCGAGACGCCTTCTCCAACGCCGAGCTCTTGCGCCGCCTCGGCTTCAGATTTGATGGCTAGGTCTCCGGCTACTTGTTCCCCTCCCGGCGAACAGAGGATAGCGTCCGCGCCCGCAGCCGGCGGCGGTGTCATTCCAACGACTACGACAGGCGGCACGGGTGGGGGGGACACGCCGGAGGTGGCTGCGGCAAGGGCGGCGCTGGAGGAGGCCGAGGAGTGTGTTGGGGTGGACCTGCCGTCACTGGACAAGGGCCCGCCCGATGCGGAGGCGGACTGTATCCTGTGCCACGTCCCGCGGGGCGCGCTGCTCCGTGCGGAAAGGGGCACGAAGGGGCTCGCGTGGTGCCACTGCCTGTGTGCGTTTTCGAAGGGGCTGCTGATCGAGGACAGAGTAGTCAAGGTGTGTGCGTGTTGTGTTTGCCGGCATCGGCCTGGGTAGCCAATGTTGTCAGTCTTGTTGCCAATGGCTTGAGATTGAAAACTCTTCTAAAGGCCATGATCTGGGGCCCTGTGCGTGTCGATGCTGCTGAGAGCGGCAGGGCTAAATGTTGGGGGTTGCGTCCACTGTAGGGGATAGGTTGGGGGCATATGCATAGTCGTCTCGTGTTGGAAAAATCGCCTGACAAGTAGCTGAACCCTTTCGAGTTTGGCTTTCATGAATGATGCGGCGGTGTGAGCGTTGGTTGCAACCGTTCTTCTCACCATGCTGCTGTTGGCTTCGGAAACGCGAGGTGTCTTGCCTCCTTTCTCTCTCACTCGCCCGTAGTTTTCTTGTCTCGGGAGTGCTCCCTCGCCCTTCGGTGCCCTACCGCCCCCCCCCCCTCCCTTGCCCTTACACACACGCGCTCTCTGAGCCCTCTGTCCTTCTCCCTGTCTCTCTCTCTGTCTGTCTATCCATCTTCATCTTTCCCTCTCTCGCTCTCTCTCTCACGTCACGTGGTTACAACAAACACAGACACGGGGCCGAATCAAGGGGGACGGCTCGACGTGCGGCTTCTGCAAGAGGACCGGCGGCGGGATCATCGAGTGCTCGGAGAAGGAGTGCAAGGTCACCTTCCACCCCCTGTGCGGCAAGCCATGGGGGGGCTCCGCAGTTCGCGGCCCCCACCTACACCCGGACCAGTGGACGGCGTGGTGCCCGAAGCACTCTGGGGGAGCGGCGGCTAGGGCGGCGGCGGCGAGAGGGTTATCGGCGAAGGGTCCGTTCATGGGGGGCGGCAGCAGCAGCGACGGCCAGGCGATGGTGATGCCGGTCAAGGAAGTGTACAAGTGAGATAACTATGCATATGATGCGCCTTTTTTTGGTTGTTTGTTGTAGCGGCGGCGATTCCGGTCAGAGGGGGATGTAGATGCGTGTGAGACGAATGGTCCGTTTTTGCTGGGCAAGGTGGCGTTTTTTGTTGTGATGTCAGAATACGCGAATGGCGATAGTTTTGCCGTCACCCAGGAGGTTTTTCTCCAATATCATGCCCAAAAAGGGTGAACATTGTTCATGTGCGTAAGCGAAAAACTGTAGCAATTGATTTGTTTTGCGTCTATTCGCTTTTTCCTCGTAACGCACGCAACCTAGCGCCTTGTAGAGGTGTCCGGAAATTAGATGATGCCAGTAGGCACCAAGCAAATCGAAGTTCATGAGAATAGGGTGGTGGAAACACAACATTTGCTCGTGTCCGCACTCAGGAGTGTTTGGGAGTGTCGTCCGTAGGAGTGCAAACTCCCCAGGAAAAGGTTTAAAATGGTGGAGGGCGTAGGTCAGAGGAATTGCCGTACCCTTGACGGGGCCCTTGGGTCTCACTTGCCGTAGAAGGTCAACAATCGAAAGGAGCTCGGCAAATGCGTTCGTCTTGCTAAAAGGTAAATTCGTTGCCGCGCCCCCCCTGCTGTCGGCGATGCTTTTGGCCAAGAGGACGCAAGCCTTAGCGTCTAATGTTTCGCCTCTCCAAACTTCGGCGAGTTCGAGACTGCCAGCCTGCTAGTACAGAAAGAAAGCACAACAACGCGTTTCGTTGCTCCTCACTGATACTGTACTGCAACAAACGACCAAACTTGACGCCGGACGGGCGCCGCGCTTTCCCCTACCATCGCAGGATCTCGAAAGCTGCGCAGCAGAAGACGAAGGCGGTGGCAGCGGCGGCGGCGGCGGCAGCGGCGGCGGCAGCGGCAGCGGCAGCGGCAGCGGCAGCGGCAGCGGCAGCGGCGGCGCCGGCTCCCCCGGCGATACCGGCGATACCGGCGACCCCGGCACCGCCCAAGGCGGTAGTGCCCCCGACCCCAAGAGCGGGAGGGCCGAGGACAGGACAGGGACGGGCTCCCCCGGCGATACCGGCGGCCCCGGCACCGCCCAAGGCGGTAGTGCCCCCGACCCCAAGAGCGGGAGGGCCGAGGACAGGACCGGGACGGGCTCCCCCGGCGATACCGGCGGCCCCGGCACCGCCCAAGGCGGTAGTGCCCCCGACCCCAAGAGCGGGAGGGCCGAGGACAGGACCGGGGCGGGGTGTGTCTTTGTGCGAGGCGGACCCAGAGGTTAAGGCGTTGCGAGCGGAGGTTAAGAAGGCGCACAATCGTACGAGGGAGGGACTGTGCCCGCCGGGATGCTGCCACCAGTGCAAGTGAGTCGTGTCCTTTGTGTGTGTATGTGTGTATGTTTACTTGCGTGTTTCGTGAGCTGGTGCGCTGTTGACGCCTTGTTGATGTCCCGATCGATCTCGTCTGCTCTGTAGTTTTTCTTGAGGCGTTTTTTTGCTTGTACAACTGACGCGGACGAACCCGTTGCGTTCGGTGGTCACCGGCTACTTTCTACCCCCCCCCCCCCCCCCCCCCCCCCCCCCCCCCCCCCCCCCCCCCCCCCCCC